CCTCTCTGTGCTGTTCTGTAGGCAGAGTAGACACAGTAATTGACAGCCATTGCAGTTTCCTGCATATTCTTAACAAGGATGTGTAAACAGAGCATTTTCTGTGGATTTATAGCAAACACTATTTTGATGATACAGTGATGGTCCTAAAATGGTTAAATATTCTTGACTTTCTATTCAGGTAAAATCAGAGAAAAAATTATCACAAGATTCATTTAACCTGTATTCGCTCAAAGTGTCGTTTTTATTTAGAAGGAAAGGTCTTTCCAACATACCAGCATTAAATGCAGGCAACAGGAAAAGCTCTCACTGACATCTTCTTACACACTAAGAAACTGAAGAATATGAAAGAGAGAAAGATAATGCAGATTTGTGTATTAGTTTGAGCATGTACACGAGCTTTAAGCGAGTGAGAGATTGACATTAATTACATTTCCTAATATCATCCTAACATCCTGTTATTTTAGAGATTGTCCTGATGGCACATCAAGGCTTTGGGGTGTTTTGCAATATCCAAGTAAAACTTCTGTGTTCACCCTTTTACCTATATAACTGGATCTATTAGCAGGATACCTCTGAATACTGTAAAATTTCACAACATCCAAAAAGTTTATAGTAGGAAAGTTACATTGAAAAAGTCATTAGAAGTAAAATAAACCATTATGATGATTTTTGGTAGTTCCTTTTTTATCATTATTAATCTCTCAGTCACAGAGTTGCCATTAGAAGTACTTATAGCCTAGAAATGCTAACACCACCTTGATTGGTAACCCACGTGATCTGGAGTTTCTGACCAAGCTGGAGCTGGGTAAGGCAGCCCAACATTATTTATTACACATACAAGTTCAGGGTTAATCTTTTTTTATTTTTTATTTTTCAGGGGGTCCCCCAGTTGTTAACATGGTGGCTGTCAACTAAAAAAGCCTCTGCTAAATTACTATTAATAAAAATTTCGTGTAATCTCAGGATTTTCTTGAGAGGTATTAAGTGAAATGTCTGAAGTGGAAAAATCCATTGTTTGAAATTTAATTTGAAATTAAGTGTTCAAAAGTGAACATTGCAAAATCTGCTGACTAGATCTGAAATCTCAGACTGGAGTTAACAAGGGACGATGCTATCTGCAAGAATAAAAATATATCTTTCTAAAGAGTTAATAAAATCGGCATCATAGCTCAAGAGGAACTTAACATTTTGGAAGATCATACACAGATATTAGCTTGGTAAATATCAAAGATGTAAATGTACATCAGAAACTTCTGTCTTCTAGTAAATCATTACAGAGAAGTCTGGAATTATACCGCCCATTACTCACTCTCACATCCCAAATTTTCCTGGTGCTTTACAGCAAGATACAGAGTGAAACCTGAGTCCCCATTAAATTAATTGAAATGTTGCTATTTACTTCTTCCTAATTTCCCAGTTTTGACACTAAAAGGTAAAGAGCAAATACCATGGAGATTTGAGCTAAATTCAAGTGGTATATTTTGCTCTCTTGCTTAAAGGAGGGCAAAAGGCACCTGAAGTACATTGGATAAAAATGTGGCAGGAAGAGAATAATAAAGTATTTTACTTAACTTTTCATTTTTCCAGGGTATGCCTAGATAAGAAAACCAAGCAAGTTTAACATATTTAGAAGTGACTTTCAACTGTTGCAAAATTTTCTTTGGACTCTGATTTCATTCCAAGAAGGATTTATTTTGATTTATCTTACACCTGTTCCTGGCAAGTTAAACTACGCTGAAATAATGTTCCTGCCTGCCTTCCCTGCCTCCGAGGGAAACACAGCCAGGGAGGGCTGCCTTCGGCAACAGATTTTCTATTCCCTGCTTGAGGTGTTGGTGGGGGTGGGTTTGGAGGAGAGGTTGGTGTATTGTGAAGAGGTGAAGAAGATGAGAGAGCAAGGTGTGAAAAAACCACCAGCAGCTTGGGAAGGCTCTCTTCCCTCCAAATATTTTTTGAACATGTGCCAGTGTGTTTTCTGCCCCTCAGTTTCCTCAGCCTTTCCTCCCTTTGCTTCTCCCCATCCCTACCCTCCATCTAGAAGGGTATACACAAGTAGGTAGCTCCCTTGGACCAATACTTTTAAAAAGGGAGTAGAGAGCTATGCTGCTGTTGGCTTCTTTGTCTCTCACAATCAGAAAGGACCAGAGACACTCAGTGGGGCAGAGGGTTTCCAGCAGCACGGGGCAGATGCTGTGTGGTGCTGGTAAAACTGAATTAATTTTAATTTTTTGCAGTGGGGGACCTCCAGGAAACTCCATGTTATAAGGAAAGCTGTCAGAGCTCCTGGAATGACCAGGAATAAGGGTCACGGCAAATCAGTGTTTTTTTGTAAAAGACTGTCCTATTGAGAATGGTTGAGGGTGACCAAAACTGGCAGTAAGCATTTTAATAATTTCCAGACCAAATGCATAATTAATAATGTTTAGGTGACCTTACTGGTTTTTAGGTTTTAAGGACGATTTGCCAGAGTGCACACTGCTTTTCTAATGATATCTGATTTGCTGCTAGCAAATCACCACTAATTAAAAACAGCTGTTACATTGCTGCTCTTCTTGGAGCAGCATGGGACAAGCCAAGCTAACCTTACCGTCATCTTAGTTACCAGGGACACCCTTTCTTCAACACAGTCCGTATTGCTCAAGGCTTTCCAGCACACTCTATGTGAGCCTTAGATGCAGATAAACATGCCTAAATATAGACATTTGCTTGTAGGTGGGTACGTGTGTCCTACATGTCTATACCTCTAGTATAGTCAGTTGAGACCCAGGACTTAGTTCAGCGGAGTACATAGAGTTGTTCTCTGTTACATGATATTCCCCACTCTCCAGTGACTTCTCCTGAAGGGCACAGCCTTACCAGGTCTGAGAGCATAGCTGACAAATCTAGGGGATGTCTCAGATACCTCGAGGCATCTCAAATATCACTGGACAAATAAATTTGGGCAGCTGAATCGAGCCTTGTTTGTACCAAGCCCAGAGCACAAGCCAGCTGAGCAGCCAGCAGGAGCCTTCCTGAGGATTACTTGCACCTCTCTCAGTTGATGTGATTTCCTTGTGCTGCACGGGGAGTTTAGACACCTGCTTCACATGTACACACCTAAATTTAAATTTCACATGGAGCTGAATCCCACCTCATCTATTTTTCTGAATTCTCACCCAGACTTCCTGCATCTGGTTGTCATGCTCTTGCGACTTGTACTGTGCAGAGATGCTTCAAGACACTTTAACTATTTCTGGCTCTTCTTGATCTCTGAACTTGTTAGGTTTACATCTTAGAAGCAAATCCAGCTTTTGTGGTAGTCAATTTTACAGTAGCCACCTATGACCTACCTATGTAGTAGCCAAAGACATTTTACAATGTCAGACCATAAGACAGGCAGAAGGTCAGCCTAACACACTGTGTCCAACAGTGATGCTTGCCAACAGTGAACGGTCAAGGAAGATTACACAAGCAAGGCAAACATACAGCAGTATTTTTCCATAAAACTCTCTCAGGTTCCAACAGCCTGCTACTTGGAGATGTCCTGAGCCAGAAGTGTTAATTCGTCCAGGATTAAATCTTCTCCCATGAGATCTTCCTGCTAGCTTTAAACCTATGTAAACTTTTAGGATCTTGTGACAAGGATTTACACAATTTAACAGGTCGTTCTTTAAACTACAGGCTGTCTTTACCCTTAGTATTGTAATAAGAGGACAAAGCTATCCATAGGTGAATTCAGAGAAACCCAGGATGTTTGCAGGCAAGGGTATTTGGACCTCAACTTGCTTTGGTGGCTGAGCAGAATGAACAAAGTGTATTTCCCACTGTACTACAGCAGGCTAAGGAAAGAATCTCCTGCTTGGAAGTACAGCCAGTCTCTCTCAGCACTCGCCTGTGGGGAGCCTTACCGCTTACTGGGTCGTTCTTGACTTGTAGGAGCTACACTTGGGACAAGATGAGTGTTCATACCCAGCACAAAAGAAGCAAAATGTATGTCAGCAAGAACTTTCAGTTTTTCACTGGCAAACACAGGTTTAGATTATCCTTGCATAGAAACATGCAAACAGCACAAAATCCTAAGATTTAAACCAAGTATTTCTCACAAAGGCTCTTTAAGCTTTTAAAGAAGGTCAGGAAATTAATTATGAGGTGATTAAGTAACACAGAGCTTGTTCTGTGCTTTTCCACTCTGTGCATACCGGTGTGTCTGCCTCAATCATCATAAAAGAACATTATGGCTTCTCTCAGGATCCACGTGCCATCACTGTGCTGCTTCTCCTCATCTCCCTTTAAATGCTGTTCTGGCTCTAAGGGCAGCTGAATGATTAGTTTATGCAGAACAAACTTGCTCTCACAGTTTGAATCTGTGACCTGAAGAAATAAATCCTAACACTTGCTGAACTTCAACAAACTTTGCAGGTTGCCAGCTAAAAGAATGCTTCTGAGTACCCAGCACTGTATTTCTTCCTTTCCAGGAAACGGTACAACAGGGAAGTTATGTCCAGAAACTACATGCCTCAACCACACAGTGTTTGTACTTTGAGGAAATTAATACTTGCGCTTGTTCCACTGGACTTTCACCACTGGGGCTGCTCTATTTTTTTCCTACCTTTGTGTTCTTTTTTCATTCTTTTTTCACTTGCCTTTTCATAGGAAACTTGCTATGGGAAAAGACAGAAAGGAAAAACATTCTTATCCATCTACTGATTTGTACATTTTGCTACATCAGCAGGCTTCTATGATTGGGCTTCAAAGCTCCTACCTGAGGTTCCTTCAACAGTGCTCCTCTTATCCTTTATATTTTCAGAGTTACTACCCTCAGTTTTCACCCTGGAGGCTCCCAAGGTGGTTTTTGACACCAGCCCTTACCTCAGATCCCTACCTCAAACAGGAGTCTCAATGCTTCAGATTCCCATTCACCACAGGAGTCTCTCTTTTGTCCCCTCATTCAGCTCATGTACATATATATGGTATTTATTGGTACTTGGTCATTAATGTTTTCTGTAATGTATTTCTTTCAGACATCATTGTTCTCATCGCTTCAATAGCAGTTGTTTCTGCAAAAACTCAGGGTAACATTTTTGCAACATCAGCACTGAGAAGTCTTCGTTTCCTACAGATCCTTCGTATGGTGCGCATGGACCGAAGAGGAGGCACTTGGAAATTATTAGGTTCAGTAGTTTATGCACATAGCAAGGTACGTAATCCTAGATGCTGATTTTGCCTAGTTGATATCTTCACTCAAGGTGATTTGACAAAAGGCCAAGGAAACAAATATGTATCCATTTTGAGCAGAATACCTAAATTTTTTCTGAAATAACTTCAATTGTAATGGGCGTTAACACAGATACATCAGGCCATGTTAAACACTAACAGTGTTTAGAAAATGGTGAAAAAATTGTCCTTGATATGCAGTTGTAATTTGAGTTATATTGGTGAAGCTGCTGAAGCATCAAACCATAGCAGTAGACTCGCTCCACTTTCAGAGAAAATTTGTATCTGTAGGGAAGCATTTGACTTTTGACAGCTCAAATGCCAAAAAAGTACATAGATCTTTTCATTATGTCTTCCTTGAAATGCCATTCTGTTCAACCTTTCAAATGGATATTGATATCTGATTTCTTTTATCTAGGAATTAATCACAGCTTGGTACATAGGATTTTTAGTACTCATCTTTTCATCTTTCCTGGTTTATCTGGTGGAAAAAGATGCAAATAACCAATTCTCCACATATGCAGATGCTCTCTGGTGGGGCACAGTAAGTACAGAAAAATAATATTCATTCTTTAACCACTGTGCTAGAGTGCTTTGAATTTCACCTACTGTGGATTTTAACTTAGCGTGCTGTTCAGTGAATTGTTTTCACTGGCAGAAAACTGGTCTGAGTTCCTCCACCTCCTCCAGCTGTTCATTTGACCCCATCCTGCAGAACAGCCGTTTATGTGTTTCTGCTGCAAATCAGACCACTAAACCTTCAAGAGAATAAAGCATTTTCTTTTTCAACCTAGATCCTTTCAGTATTACAGTTTGTAATATGGTCCCACAAAGACCTGCTTTGATCCAAATCAGAGGGCTGTAAACTGCAGAGCAGGAAGAGGAATATGTGTCAGGACAGAAAGAGGGGGAAAAGTCCTTACATCACTGTGTGGTGAAAGGAAAAGTGTCATCAGTGCCCTTAGAATGATGTTTCTCCTTTCTGTGTACCTTGAGCACAAAAAGCAAGAGTAAGTATTGCCATTGTCCTTCAGCAGTGTTATTTTTACAGGTGCAAAACTCCTGATTTAGTTGAGCTCATGCTTAACTATCAAATCAATTGGTTTTAACTGGTTGAAAACTGAGATCTGAGTGCATGCCTGGCTGCTTTTCTGAAAGAAGGAGGATTATATGAATGCTTACATGTCTAAATAAACTAGGCTTTAAGGGAACAATGGAAAACTAGGTCTGAAATTTTTAATTTCTTTTTTTTTTTTAATGGTACAATGAATAGGGGTTTTTGCTTAAAAATGCCCTATAGTATTCTAGACTCCTGCACTGTGTGGGAGTTACTTAGGCAGCTTAAGAAATCTGCTCCAACAAAGCCTGTGGCAGAACTATTGCCAGGCAGTATAAAACTGCTTTTCTTTTCCTTTTGATGCAGTAGAACAAATGCCATGAGCTCTAACAGTGTCTGGGTAGTGAAATGATGCCTGTGAGATCATTAATGCTGACATAACCTAGAGCACTCATTAGTTTTCCTGGAATAAGTGCGAGACCTGCACAAGCCTCTGCCACCTTTTCTCATCAGAGTGATGCAGAAATGAAGCTTTCTTACCTCAGACCTTCTGCTGACAAGACTTCATCTAGACTCAGTAGTATCCACAGGCTCAGAGCATGCATAGATAGACTGTGCAAAAGCCCTTTCCAAAATGCTTTAAATCCTTGAGATATATTTTCAATAAGTTTTGTTTACGTTTTGAGCAAAGGACAAGGTCATTTTCTATTAGTAGGACTAGTTTATGTATTTGAAATTTGTTCCTCTAAGGGTTAATCATTTGTTACATGTCTTCCCTAAAGACTATATTTCTGTGTTATCAGTGCACAGAATTGGGAGCTTGGAAAAGCCAGACTTGTGCATTTACAAATATACAGAAACACATTTCCTGAAACTTGTTGCTTTAGAGCATCAAGGCAAATCTCTGATAAAATACACATTTTTATCCTGTAATCCAAACACATGTAAAATTCTGATTGGATAAAGCCATGAGAGAAGGTTTTGCCCTCAGCTGCATCACTGTAGTTTGTTTTGTTTCACTTTTCTTCAAAAGCTAAGGTCTAGAATTGGCTTAAATCTTTCTAACAGTCCTGTATTGACACAGTCATGAAGCATCTGGCTTGGAGTGCTGGTGTCCTCGCTGATGGGTACCCTGGCTCCAGAAGTCTGCGAACACCATTGCCCCTTTGGGGGTAGCAGTGGGGATGTGGACCTGCAAGAGACCCTCCTGGGGCAGTGCATGGGTCTGGGAACACATGTTTTGAGCCATTCAGTTCTCCAGGAGACACTCTAGCTCTCCACAAAGCCATGTGTGACAGCAATGCATAGGCAGGGAGTTTGGACCAAGCAGAGGATTGTACCCACCTGCCAGCAGGCAATAGCAAGGGGAAATATATGCACAAAGAACGGGAAAGTCACAGCAAACTCAGACCTCAACTCTGACATCTGACTGAGGCTCCTGTTAGATCCAGATCCTTCTCCCTGAGCAGCTCTAAGTGGCAGGAACAAGGTCTTTATTTTAGAATTTTCTTCACCACTACCTGCTGACTGCTATTTTTTAAGGGAAAACCCTGCTAAGAAATAATCATTGTATAAAGTGGTGCTTAAAATATTTTGTACACTATGAAGTGAAAATGTGTGATTCATAGGTCAAATAAGTAGTGCAACTGAGAAAATAGGAATCTTTTGACATCATCAGGAAAAACAACAAATTATAATCAAAAACCTGAAAACAATCTATAGTGTATATTTCCATATCTTTTCTTCTTTCCCCAGTGTGTGACACAAATACATTTAAATTTTTAATGTGCTTAAGTGCACAAAGTTACTGAAAAATCAGTGTTTCCTCTTACCTGTTATCTTTGCCATTTTAATAATAGTATTTTTTGTATAATATGCAAAACAGTATGTGGGAAATGCATAATGTGCTTCTTAGTCATGGTTGTTTTTACTGCCAGAGTAACCCACATGCAGATTTTGAAAAGGTCAGATTGTGTCGCATTCTAGGGGAAATCAATGCTTAGTCTCATTGATTTGTTTATTTGCAAAAGTCGTTCTAACTTAAACCACAGAGAATCTACCAAATCCCAGACTGAATTATGTGATGGCAGAGGTACAAGAAGAAAAGAAAAAAAAAGGCTGCATTGAAGTCAGGCACAAATAGTCGCCTTAAATTTCAAGCTTTTAGTGGTACTTATGCCCCCCCCTCCCTTACCAGGACCAGACCCAGCATGCAGCAATTAACCCATTCACTAAGTCAGATTATTTGAGGGCCCTACCCTGTTATGGTCATTTCACTGACTCCATTTCTGAAGCCCATATTTTTACACTGGAATGAAAGGCAGAATATGGCATCCTAATTTACAAATACTCCACTGTATTTGCAATTGCATATTATACTGTGCAACCTGCAGTTTAAACATCGTGCTAATGTTACTATTGTGAATATTCTTGTGGTTGGGGTTCCCACAGTGCTGCCTAACACAGCGGCACATAACAGTGTGTGTTCTATGAAGAGCTCAAGTTCAAAAATTGCTTTGGTAGAGAAGGTAAATGAATTTAACAGAATAAAATAAATAAACTATACAGGAACAAAAGGTCAATTCAAAAACTTAAGTATTTCAAAACCAAATCATGCATGGTTTTCTGAGAACTGCTAGTGTTAACTAGAACTGTGTGTGCTTAAAGTGGCATTTAGTTTGTACATCAATTAGTTTTACCTGCAAATGTAATACAATTAAGATTCCTGTCTCTCTTACACATTTGACAAAGTTTCTCTTAAATACGTCAGTATTCTCTAGAAGTATCCAGTAGTTACATTTGGATACAGAATGGCTCTGGCACTCCACGATGACCCATAGGTGAACAAAACATATCACAATGAATAATATTGTCACAATTACTAGCTCAAATGAGTTAATATAGATGACATTTTTCCCATTTAATGTAATGATAGCATGAGCAAACTACATTTTTTCCAGTTAATTGATGTCAGGTAAAGATTCAAAAGGTAAGTACTGCTAGCAGAACATTAAATGGCATCAGAAAGAAATATTAGGGTAAAGGAGGGCCTCCTGGGTCCTATCTCATCTAATTGAAATCATCTAGGTTATATAATCACATCCATTATTGTACTACCTCACTTATTATTATCATATTTATTGGCTTCAACAATGAGATATAACAAAAATTCTGTCATCATTGTGAGTTTTGAGTCTAGCCAGGTGACACTACCTGTCTTGGCTGGTCTGTCCAGACACCTCATTTGTAGAAGCAACCAAAATGTAGCAGTTTGCATCTGGTACAAAAGATAGGACTCAGCTCACTCATTTAGCCATGTAGGGATGTTGTTTAGTTGCTTGAACATAGGCATACAGCACTGTGGAAGATCTGCTGGAGTCTGCTGCCTCTTCTGTGGTTGGTCCTTGTTCAGATACCCTAGGGCATCTAAGGTGGCACTAGACATTTGTTTTAAGGCAAGCCTATGTCCTACATTTTAGAGTAGGATGAATTACCTGTTGGAGGAATCTCTCTTTCCATTGTGCATGTTGCGGTGACCAGATCATGCTAAACACCTAAGCATTTTATTTTTCAAGTTGAGTGAAAGGAATCCTATACAAACCAACTCTAAAAGGGTTGGGATTTTTGTCCTTATTTTTGCTGTGGTGACCACACATAGGCCTGCTCAACAGATATCCCCAGAAAGACATGGTTTACACACCTTGTTATTTTTTTCACTTTTATTTTCTTTACCTCTGACCAAGTCTCCTCTGAAACAACCTGTTCCTAATTTCCTTCACAGGTTTGCTACAGATTTTGTAGTTCAGTTACCTGCTCTTTCTTGGCCTTGTATGGTACTGCTGATGCAGTCACCTAGGTGCTGTTGTCCTTCCAAGATTGTCATCCCCAAAAGGTCCCAAATAATTTCCTCCAGTCACCTTTTAACTTTGGTCACTTCTTCCTTAACCACCTGTGGGATCCAGCCTTCCCTCACAGGGCTAGCTGTAACTTCTGTCTGCATCCTACATTACCATCAGTTACATCTGGAAATTTCTCATGTTGTCATGATCTCACGTCCAGTAGTTTTCCACACCCTGTTCAGTTAATTTAACCTCAGGATTATGCCAGTCAGGGCCTGGCCAGTGGTTTAGTCATTCACTCGCAGCATTGACAAAGATGCAGGGGATTATTCCCAAACTTGACGCTGAAGTTGTCCGGAAAAATATTTTCTTGGTTGTGCGATGAGAGAAATATAAAATGAAAATCAAACCCATTTGTTCAGTGTTGAGTAAGATGATACGGCGCAGCGCTGACACCTATACACCCGTGTAAACACTGTCCTGAGATAAAACAGTTTAAAGTGAGCTAGAAGCCACTCATATTCTTAATCGTAGACTGTTATCATTAGGTCCTCAAGACCTAAAAGAATGGGGGAAAAGGCTTTAATATGGTCTTGTTGTTTTCTTTGGAGAAATTCCAGAGACATGGTCTGTGTGACTGCTCCTCATTTTGGATTGCTCCCAGATGTCAGATCCAAAGGTTCAAGTTTATCTTTGACTCCTTTGGAAGACAGCTCAGTGGCAATATCATTAATATGAAGATGACACTCAATTCTGTTTCCTTCTTGTCAGCCCAGGCAGGAGATATCTCTATACTTTCCAGCATCTGGCAGAGATACAGAGCTGGACAAAAGCCAAGAAACTGGGCTCGTTCCAGAGCTTCAAACTGCTTTGCAATGACTGGCCTGGAAACAAATTTTGAGGAACTTTTATTTAAGGATTCATTTTCTTCGTTGTTCTCAGGGTCTTAATAGCCTCAAACTATTCTGCACTTGCCCGCTGATGAGAAGAGCCGGGAATACTTTTTTCAGCAAACAAAGGACAAACAAATCAAGCCCCTCCACCAGGCCAAGAGTGTGGTTGCATCAGCTCACCTCTGCCAGAAAAAAGGAACCTGCATTCCCATCTCCCTTCCTCCTTATCGCTCAGTCTCAGCCACGTGCTGCCTTGTGCAGGCTCTGGAGTTTGTTAGGCACCTCCATGAGCTACCACAACTCACCAAAACAGCAGAAACAAACCACACAGAAATGTGGATAATTCTTTCCACCTGCCTGGGTTGCATTGGCTCTCCAAAGAGTCCAGCAAAAGCTGGGAAGAGGGGATAGGGCAGGGAAGTGAAGGGGAGCAAGGAAGGAGAGCGAGACCTGATAAGCATGCAAGGTGGTGTGTCTTTGACCAGGCTAGCATTACAAAACCTGAGACTTGATGACCACTTGAAATTTCAGCTGCAGCCTTAATTCAGCTCACTCTCTTTTAGTCACTATGGCTTTTTCAGGGTAAATTACACTCGCAGCTTGTTCCCAACAATGGGAGCAATTAAAAGCACTGTTTACTATCTACAGAGCCCTAAACAGCTGAAATCTAATTACTTCCAAAAGACTTTCCTTCTTTTGTCCTCTGATGACCCCAGGAATTAAATAGAACAGCTTTGGCCTTCTTGCCTAGGAATGAACTTTGAGGAAGCTGGAAGCAAAATAATGTCTCTAGAAGGCATTTTCCTGAAGAATTTATTCCTGCCAGAATATTTGCTAAGCCTGAACTTGCCCACATTTGGTACATGATGTAAAATAATTCTCTGTGCACATGTTCTCCACTAATAACAGTCCCTGGAGTCCTTGGCATTCAGCCTACTGTTGTCTATCTTTGTCCTTTAACACTGTGGGCTGTTGCCTGAGCACGTGCCCTGCTGCCTCTTACCCTGCCGTCGGAAATTCTCTGGTCTGCCCACGCCTCCTCCAGCTGCCCACACCAGCCAGCAGGGTGGGTCCAAACTCCCCAAAATGGAAGTCCAGAGACGTGACTTTCTCATGACAGTCCAGTCCCCAGCTTTGGGACTGGCACACTTCCCAGGCCAGGAGTAGCCTGGAGGACATTTCTTTGGGTTGGGGAAGACCCTCAGCCACATGCAGATATGAAGACGTAATCTTTTGCCTTGGAGATATGCTCAGTAAACCACAACCACACATCATTATCCCAGCAGCCTTGCATATGCACTGCATTTCTATATGGCCTGCAGTCAATGAGTTGCATGTGCAGAGCCCTCCCACATGTTCCAGACTCTGACATCATCTGCACTGGTGCTACACAGCAGGGATGCTGGCCTCCACAGCACAGCTTTTGAAACGTCTGTATGCTGAGCCTCTGATTACACTCACTACATGAAGGGATTGCAGATGCCCTCTCCTTCCTCTTTGACCTCTCCTCACGTAGGTCTGAGCTAACATTGTCCAACATCCTGAGGTACCTTTGCATCTGCTTCTGTGCAGTAGTCTTTGGACCTTCATGTCAGGAGTGACAGGAGTATATATCTGAGCCAGTCATAAGGAAGGGGAAAGGACCAGGAACTTCTTAAAGTTCCTTCCATCTTTTGATTAGTGTTTTTTTGTGTTTCAGAAGATAATCCACTTCAGATTGTACTGATGGATTTGTAGAAAATGCAGCTGCTTCTTGCTGTTCCTTTGACTTTATATCAACTATGAACTTCAACTTCCTCTCCTCATATTTTTCCAATATAATCTCTGTGTACTTTGTATTTGTGTAGCTGTGCAAATACATTCAGTTATATATCCCCATAGAAAATAGGTGAAATACCTTTACATCCATGTCAAAGAACACTTTTTTCTGCCTAGCTCCCATAATTTCCCATAATCTGCCTCAACTTTGAGAAAAAAAAGTTAACACACTATATTATTCTGGATTATAATGGAAACCACAGACCCAGACCTTCTGGGTTTTTTTTATTTTTTAAACTTACTTATTGCTTATTTAGGTCTTTTTCTCACATTTATTATTTATCTCAGTCTTATTCAGTCATAAACAGTATTAAGTTTCCATAGAAAAGTGTATTAATGTTAATTTATTTACGTTTGTTTTTCCTCGAGGAAGAACTGTATGTATTTCATGTATCTTAGTGGAAATGCTGTTTCATGCAATGTAAATCATCTGCAAATAATCTCTTAGTGACTTCTGGTAAACCATATTGTTAATCAATTTATTTTTAGATCACATTGACAACCATTGGCTATGGAGACAAAACTCCTCTTACTTGGCTTGGAAGGTTGCTTTCTGCAGGATTTGCTTTACTTGGCATTTCTTTCTTTGCACTACCTGCTGTGAGTATGCCTATAAAATTTGTAAAAAGGTAATAGAGAAAAGAAAAAAAACTTAATAGGAAGTTCTGTAGTTCCTACCACTGTTATGATACAAAAAGCTAAAGGCAGCTCTTTACACAAAGAACAATTGTTTAAGACTTTTTGCTCTGTGACAACACTAGTGGACTGCTATCCAAAATCCAAACAAAAGGCTTAGTGTCATTGCTTGAGTTTTGGGGGGTTTCTTTAGCATGGAAAAAAATTGAAAATAATCCTAAATTAGGTATCACACTATTGTGTAAGGTTAAAATCCCTTTCTTTTGTTATGAATTGTAGCTTATATATTGCTGCTTTTCTTCCAGATTTAAAAAAAAAAAAAAGGCTGGTATGCTTTTCTGAATTAGATCCTATTAAAAAAAAAAAAAGGATATAATTCTAATAGGTTGTCTTGTATTACCATATTCAGGCTACCAACAGAGAGTAGTAGAAGGTATTAAATCAACGAAAAGTTAATATCATTGAATGTAAAAATGCAACTATCATTTTCTGTGAATGATTGTAAATAAACCTGACAATTTATTTATGTTGCTTTTATCAATGTTCAAGAGACTTTAATGAATATGGGAATCATCTAATGACTGAAATATAGTGTAGCTTCAGAAATAACTTTTCATTTTTGTGAGTGAATTTCCTTTCTTTTTTAAATTAGTATTGAATAAGGATAAAATCAGAAGTGACACTTGTATTTTGTTGTATTGCATCCAGTACAACATATACAGAAAATCAATATTTTAATACTCAGATTCATTATTTACAGATCACTATAAAACCTGTATGTTATAAAAATACTTTTGTTTTCAACCACATAGACAAACCAAGATTAAAAGTCAGCACTTGGCAACATTGAATCATCTAGTGTGTTGCATTTATTTCTTACTCTAAGTACAGAGAGTATCTATGGCATATTATAATGCATTATAATTATAGTACATTACCTGCTTGTGAATCTTTTACATTTAATGGCAGCTACTATAATTAATTCCCTTCAGAACCTAGTCACCACTAACAAGTTAGTCTTAGCAGGACTGCAATGAGCATGTAAAAGTTGGATAACCTTACTTATTAGAGATGCTAGAACTTTTGTTCCTCGTGTTGTATGTATGTAAAGATAGTAATTTTCCTCGTAAACACTTTTGTGTTGAATCTGTCTGTAAAACGAGATATATGTGAATCCTATGCATTTCTAATATTATTTTATTCTGACTAAGAATCAGGTGGAAATAGTCTTCCTTATAATAAAGACATGTCCAGCAGAAATATTACACTCCTTGCAAGCTAAGGAGGGAAACATTCTCAGTCTTTGGATCTGTTCAGTAGAAGTCGAATTTATCTTACTTATTCAAACATAAGAAGGCTTAAAGGGGAGAGGTTTCATTGTTGACTTTTTTTCATAGCCTGTAGAATGAGCAATGAGAGTGATTTAGATGAGAAAGAGTGAGAAGAAATTGTATTAATCTGTTAAGCAAGGTGTTTTCTAACTTTTCTGAAATCAAAAATTATAAGAAACACTGCAGATATGGACTTTGAGGTCTATATATATCTGGCATACCTGCCAACTGGTCATTTCATCATTCCTGGTTTAAGTCCTTCTGAATGTTCCTGCTTTATTTTATGTGTGTGTGTATTTATTTATATATATTCATATATATATA